ATCGCAAGTCCTCATTTATGGCTCCTTTGTGCATAAGATGTTTCTAGATTTAGAGTAACAAAGTTGCTTGTTTAACAGAGCAATGACTGGATACGTAAATGTGTATCATAACTCTATTTCAAAACATGATATGACGATAACGCTGATTTGTCATAAATGGATGCGTATGCATGACTCTAAGTCCAACACATCACTGTTGTTAGCCGGACGATGTTGATAATAAAACACCTACTGAGACAACACTGTCAGACAGGGTGCTGTTGTACAAAACCCTCGTAAGTGAGTCGTAAATCGACAGACGCAAGTTTACGTTAAGGTATGGGAGTTATGATCACCTTAGTGATAGGGCTGGGACGATACACTATGTCATGATACGATACGTATCGTGATATTTTACCTGCGATACGATGCATATCACGATACATACACCTTGAAAGAATCACACAGTACTAAGATTTAAAATGAATGGCCGGTAGTGGCCAAATATTACTGAAGAGACAGCTAGTTTATCCACCTCAAAGTATTTTTCTCTAAATAAGTACTTTAACATGTTTAAGATAAAACTGTTTTGAAAAAAAATGTGTATCGTTTTGTATCAACACACCAGTCGACGATACGATAGCTGTATCAAACTGAAATGTATCGCGATGTGTTGGTGAATCGTCCCAGCCCTCCTTAGTGCTAAGATTGCTTTGGACAACCACATCCAGGTCACTGATAGGGCACCATGGGTATAATGCGTGAAGCCCATTTCTGGTGTCCCCCGCTGTGATATTGCTGGAGTATTGCTAAAAGCGGTGTAAAACCCAAGTCACTCCTAGTATGGTCTCAACCAATATGCATATCACATTAGACACCCAACAAGGGGTAGGTACAGGGATCATCTGGTGTCATCTCTTTTCTAAAACCCTCGTTTGGTGATGTTAAACTTTACAAAACATTTTACCAATCAGTACATGATTCATTCAGATCATACACTTGAAACTAAAAGAAACAACATCTAACTGAATAAAAAATAGGAACCAATTCTAGTTTTGCCACAATCAATACAATCCAAAACACTTGTCGTGACATGTTTTCAGAAGTGTATCACATGGCAACACGCTTCTTGGATGTCAACAAAGTGAAAACCACAAATTTCAAGCTGGCTGCGATGCTTATTCAGTGTGCATGCAAGTTGAAAGTTAAGTCTTTGTCAAACTTGCCATCTGCCTTAAGTGTGCACAGTGTGCTGCAGAGGCTGCACGGAGCTACAATGAATATTCACCACAGATTTTCTTCACACATCGTAACAAGCCAGCATACCAAGTGGCAACACTATGATGTCTAGCTGACAACCACCATCAGCAGTATGTGTGTAGATAGTTGTTAGGCAGACAGTTTAGCAGGAAGATTACCTGGAACATGTTGCATGAGATTGTACACTTCACAAACGCGGTGTTGTTTTTGCTCTGAACTTCCACAGGGTTGGCATGACAGCTCAGGTCTCACATTAAATGAGATGTGACTGAAGAAGTGCTAAGCAGCACTTCGACAACTTTGCATTCAGTGCAATGATCCTTCCAACTGCTTGCATGAAATGGGAGGGGAAAGGGATTGACATTCCAATGACAACCATCAAGACGGCAGGGAACTGTCTAGTGTTATGTATAATGCAACAGTTCAGTCCATCAATACAAAAATACAAAATAAAATCCATAGAGAACTAATTCATCCATCCATCCATCCTGAGTGAGTGAGAATGGTTTTACGCCGCTTTTAGCAATATTCCAGCAATATCACAGCGGGGGTACACCAGAAATGGGCTTCACACACTGTACCCATGTGGGGAATCGAACCCAGGTCTTCAGAGTGACGAGCGAACGCTTTAACCACTAGGCTACCCCGACGCCCTTTATCCATCCTGAAGGGATATCATGTCACAGCATCTACATGTCAACTCACTTGGGGGAAATCCCATCCACAAAACAATTCACACTCAGACATTATAACCAACCAATACACAGTTTGTTATTGCTTCTGAACAGGATGCGAAACAAGAAACGATTTCACTTCAGTCTCACCACAGCCCCTAATGCCAAGTACCAGCAACCTTCATTATTTCCCTCTGAAATCCTAACACTGTCTGTAGTGACAATGCTCAGAATAGAGCTGTTTATTTCACTCGATCCCAGAATGGCCTCTAATATAAAGGATCTGAACTGAAGGAGTGCTAACCCTTGATTCCACACAGGATGTCTTGTTGAAAAGCAACAGAATGAATCCACACACTAGAATGGTCTTCCCACACATGCTTAAATACTCACTAAACTTCAGCATGTGCAAGCACCTGTTCACATTTTACTACTCCAGCAAGATGAATGATATGCATTTCATGAAACCCAACTAATCTTGATTACAAAACAATCACGTCTAGTCACCTCTATTCCACAAGTAAAATCAGCATTAGGAAAATATATCAGAAGAGAGAAATATAATGTGATCATTTCACAAACTGTTTCATTACAGTGAAATATCTCTGTTAGTCTAACAGCAAGCTGATATGTCCTAGCTGTTGGTTTCTGATGCTAGGCCTTTCATTACAGTGAAATATCTGTTAGTCTAACAGCAAGCTGATATGTCCTAGCTGTTGGTTTCTGATGCTAGGCCTTTCATTACAGTGAAATATCTGTTAGTCTAACAGCAAGCTGATATGTCCTAGCTGTTGGTTTCTGATGCCAGGCCTTTCATTACAGTGAAATATCTGTTAGTCTAACAGCAAGCTGACATGTCCTAGCTGTTGGTTTCTGATGCTAGGCCTTTCATTACAGTGAAATATCTTAGTCTAACTGCAAGCTGATATGTCCTAGCTGTTGGTTTCTGATGCTAGGCCTTTCATTACAGTGAAATATCTGTTAGTCTAACAGCAAGCTGATATGTCCTAGCTGTTGGTTTCTGATGCTAGGCCTTTCATTACAGTGAAATATCTTCCTAACAGCAAGCTGATATGTCCTAGCTGTTGTCTAACAGCAAGCAAGCTGATATGTCCTAGCTGTTGGTTTCTGATGCCAGGCCTTTCATTACAGTGAAATATCTGTTAGTCTAACAGCAAGCTGATATGTCCTAGCTGTTGGTTTCTGATGCTAGGCCTTTCATTACAGTGAAATATCTGTTAGTCTAACAGCAAGCTGATATGTCCTAGCTGTTGGTTTCTGATGCTAGGCCTTTCATTACAGTGAAATATCTGTTAGTCTAACAGCAAGCAGATATGTCCTAGCTGTTGGTTTCTGATGCCAGGCCTTTCATTACAGTGAAATATCTTAGTCTAACAGCAAGCTGATATGTCCTAGCTGTTGGTTTCTGATGCCAGGCCTTTCATTACAGTGAAATATCTGTTAGTCTAACAGCAAGCTGATATGTCCTAGCTGTTGGTTTCTGATGCCAGGCCTTTCACAGTTACAGTGAAATATCTGATAGTCTAACAGCAAGCTGATATGTCCTAGCTGTTGGTTTCTTTCTGATGCCAGGCCTTTCATTACAGTGAAATATCTGTTAGTCTAACAGCAAGCTGATATGTCCTAGCTGTTGGTTTCTGATGCCAGGCCTTTCATTACAGTGAAATATCTTAGTCTAACAGCAAGCTGATATGTCCTAGCTGTTGGTTTCTGATGCCAGGCCTTTCATTACAGTGAAATATCTTAGTCTAACAGCAAGCTGATATGTCCTAGCTGTTGGTTTCTGATGCCAGGCCTTTCATTACAGTGAAATATCTTAGTCTAACAGCAAGCTGATATGTCCTAGCTGTTGGTTTCTGATGCCAGGCCTTTCATTACAGTGAAATATCGTAGTCTAACAGCAAGCTGACATGTCCTAGCTGTTGGTTTCTGATGCTAGGCCTTTCATTACAGTGAAATATCTTAGTCTAACAGCAAGCTGACATGTCCTAGCTGTTGGTATCTGATGTCAGGCCTTTCATTACAGTGAAATATATAGAGAATCTCACCCGAGTATCTTTTGACATCAAATATATCACCAAATATATAGTCTAACAGAAGTTTGATAAAGTAACAAATATCCGAGGCTTGCAAAGGATATTTTTACTTTTTTCAACGAGTGTTGATATATTTGATATCAGAAGACACCAGGGTGAGATTCTATTTATCATAAAAAAACTCTCTTCATTAGTTTTCAATGAAAAATGTACATCTCTGAACACAGTACTGCCATTAGATTTGCAGTGCAGCGATGTCATAAAATTTTGACGTCAACAAGTTCATGACGTCATAGCATTGTCAGGGCATTGTACAAAATCTACTGTCAAAACGATATTTCCTAGGAGATATCGTCTGATCTCACACAAGCGATATCTACTGTGGAACACAGTTTTGGATGATAAATGCTGGTATAAGGAGAATGGTAAATTCGTCAGGGATGACATCTTCTTTTTTATGTTATGAATATTTTAGCATAGCTTCTAATAATGTTTTCAAGCAGCTGGAATTGTTGGTATTTTTGCTAATCTTCCTGATAATATTATCAAATGCTTGACAACAAAATTCTCCATTCATATTGCATAACTGTTTTGATTGTTATCATACACTTCAACATTTGACATTATATCACCAGATCATAAACTTCCCAAACTTATTATCAAATGAAAGAAATATTTTCAAACACAATTTCACTAAAGCTTCAAGGGACCTTTTTTAAAAAACATAAATTGAAACGACGCCAAAACATTCAACAATTAACATCATTGAACAAAAAGTCTCCCTCTAGAAATAATTTGCAAATATGTCAAACATTTTGCCATGTTTTTGTTACAAGATATTTGTTATGCTTTTGTTTGAGAACAATCCTCTACTGAAAGGGTTAAAGCACTACCGGCAGCAATAACGCAATTTCCCTCCCCTTGAGATGAATGGGTGGACCTGACTTTCACCTGACAATAGCGGGAAGTTGCTAGGATTCACATGTGTGTGTTAGACGTAAAGGTCAGGACAGAAGAAAATGTTCCCTACCAGTGTGAAGCTAGCCTCTCCACGTCCTTCTGTTGAATGTAATGCAGTATAGTCCAATAGTGTTGGGATCTATTTCCTGTGATCCGTCACACACGTCGGCTGGAAAGGTAAAAATATATGGTCAACATATGTTATTAAGCATTGATATACTTACAAAACAGTCATCAAGGACAAAAACATATTGATCAATCAATTCACAAAAATGTCAAAACCATTGTCAAATCCAGCAAATATCCATCGAGTCGAAACAATAATGATTTTATGTACACACGTGTATATATATATAACTATACACACACTATGTTATCAATGTTTACCATATGCCAATACGAAATGTCACAATGATTCCAAGGATCAAGTAACTTTTTCAGCCATACAAGCTACATAACCAATTTAGAAATGTTCAAGCAACAAATTATGGTATAATACCATATGACGCTTCTTACGAAGGGCAGCGGTCTATTCCACAGAGTAATGTCACAATGGTTCCATGGATCAAGTAACGTTTTCAGACATACAAGCTACATAACCAATTTAGAAATGTTCAAGCAACAAATTATGGTATAATACCATATGACGCTTCTTACGAAGGGCAGCGGTCTATTCCACAGAGTAATGTCACAATGGTTCCATGGATCAAGTAACGTTTTCAGACATACAAGCTACATAACCAATTTAAAAATGTTCATGCATCAAATTATGGCATAATACCATATGACGCTTCTTGAAAGGCAGCGGCCTATTCCACTTAACCACCACCCACACGGTAATCATGACGACAGCATCCAACGATATCAATGTACGCACACAAAACCACCTTTCCCACAAATGTACGCAGTGAGTATCCACAAATCCATTCCAGTTTGGTTGAGAGCTGAGACTACACAACCACTGATCTGCTGACAATGTGGTTCTCAGATGCGCGATTTCGGGCGTGGGTAAATAAAGACGCAAGTTGGCCTGCTGCAATCTATTACTGACATAAATCCATATATGAATCACATCTTCACCTCACATTTCTCTGTCTTTAAAACAAGAGAGTACTGTTTTGGGACTCTCTATTGTAACTGTGTCTCGATTCAAGTTTGCTTCAGCTGTGGTTGTGCATATGACAACAGAGAATAAACTTCAGGTCAAGCACTGGGTTTAATTCAGGTTTCACAGAAACAATATCTGTTTTCTTATCAAGGGTGAAAAAACTTACAAATCCTTACAAAAACATTTGAGCATTTAGTGCAAATGTAGGACAATGGGTCTCTTTGAACTCCCTGTGAGGTATGGAGCACCAAGGAGACCTTGTGTGACCGACCCACTGGAGACACACAGACATAGGATATTACTCTTACAGTCCCATTGTCTCTGGTATTAAAAACACAGAAATAGGGTGATCATATTGACTTGTGTGAAATACACAGAAATAGGGTGATCACATTGACTCGTGTGAAATACATAGAAATAGGGTGATCATATTGACTTGTGTGAAATACACAGAAATAGGGTGATCATATTGAAATAGGGTGATCATATTGACTTGTGTGAAATACACAGAAATAGGGTGATCATATTGACTCGTGTGAAATACATAGAAAAAGGGTGATCACATTGACTTGTGTGAAATACACAGAAATAGGGTGATCATATTGACTCGTGTGAAATACATAGAAAAAGGGTGATCATATTGACTGGTGTGTGAAATACACAGAAATAGAACACAGACCTAAAAAAAAAGAGTGGTAATCTCACTCTTGTGTTAAATACAATAAAACAACATGGCCTCTTTGCTTTCCTGTATCAAATACAATAAATAGTACCTCGCCTTTGATCTCCTGTGTAAAATACAATATAATAGGATGCTCTCTTTGATTTTCTGTGAGGGATACAAAGGAAGAAGACTCTATTGAAGAAGAAATGGAGGGAAATAGGAGAGTTTCTTGATTTATATTTTAAATACACTGCAATATGTGGATCTGTTTGATTCATGGAAACTAGGACCAAAATAACTTCTGACTTTGGTTGCTGAAGTTAAAGTAAGGATGCAAGTCTCGCCTCCCTCTTCTGTGTCAGTTGTCAGGGGCTTCTCGGAAGAACTTTAAACCATTTGTAAATTGAAATTACTTCAAATATTTTAGATGTAAACAAACTTAAGCACCCTTGTCATGGTCAGGATTTACAGAGGTTTGCTTGGTTCAAACAAACCTTGATGCTTTTACAAAGGCCCTTTCAAAGCAAGAATCATACTTTTCAAGGTTAAAAGTATGATTCAAGAGGCGAGCTTTGAGACTATGTTACTTCATTTACAAATGTAATATAATTATTGTCAATAGTATTGCGACATCTGTTGCCTCACACTAACCTAATGAGTGCTTCTACATGAGAGAGGTTTTACATTTGTACTCAATGTATAGTCTGTTATAGACCCTGAAGCAAATATATCCATTAAAGCCCATGCAAGTCTAGAAAATGTGGCAAGTCTAGATTTGCAGTTTCAGGTCTCCTTTTCATTATATTTTTTTTTACTATGAACTTTTTTTTCTGTAAAATATGTTCATTTCAGAGACTAGTTGTTTGTGTACTGGATGTATTGTTGGGCAGAACGGAGACACATTCTTCTTCACATGAGAACTCCATGATGTCAACCTGTAACTACAACATCGTTGTAACCCCTGCATTCCCACTGCACCATGCAGGCTGGTGAAGAGTTTTATTAAGTTTCAACGTAAATCTCCGGTGTTTGTTAACTTTAGCATTGCTGTCTGAATTAAGGATGTGGATTCAGTTAAACATGGTTATACACCTAAAGCTACGGGTTGAGCCAACTAAAAAGTTCTACCCACACATCAAGCTTTACATTCAGCTGCACATAAAGCAATCAGTGAAGAATTAGTCTACAGCAACCTTGGCTTGTAAGAGGCGACTAAAGGGATCGGGTGGTCAGGCTAGCTGACTTGGTTGACACATGTCATTGTATCGCAATTGTGTAGATCGATGCTCATGATGTCAATCACCTGATTGTTTAGTCCAGACTTTTTTATATAGTTTGAAGATTGCTGAGTATCAACAAGGCTAGTGAGTGAGTGAGTGTACTTTTACGCCGCACTCAGCAATATTCCAGCTATATGGCAGCGGTATGTAAATAATCAAGTCTGGACAAGACAATCCAGTGATCAACAGCATGAGTATTGATCTACTCAATTGGGATATGATGACATGTGTCAACTAGCCACCCGATCCCGTTAGTCGCCTCTTACGACAAGCATGGGTTAGTGAAGATCAAGTCTAACCCGGATCTTCACGGGTAATAAGGTTTTACGTAACTCTGTTGGTAAAGCTATCACTAAACTTATACACTGTACATAAAGCTCTTAAGCACTCAATGAGAAGCTCAACGTAAGCCATCCACAAAGCTGTTTTAAGAGCTATACATAACAATGCTCATACAGCCAAACAGAAACCTACACAACTTTCAAAATGTCATCCAGCAGAAAGATGATAAATGCTAAAGGGAGGTACAAGTCGACAGTTATATAAACAAGGTAATTTTCTCAACCCCTCCCCATAATCAATCTCCACCTCGGCATATAAACACTCTTACCATGCCTACCTCAACATGTTGTATCAGTGACATGCATAATCACGCTCTAGACACATTTGCGATATGAGTTCAAATGATGGCAATTTGATCCTGGGAACAGAATGACTCTCCTTTTCTTTAGCAAACAGCCTGACGGCAGGACAGATAAAGCTGGACTGGTAGTTGGGGGATATATCAGCTACATGCTTCATTTCAACATCAATATGGAGAGGGTGGCCTTGAGAAATACTACATGCAGCATATATGTACTGGAAGCAATTTGTTGGTTTATCACAACTGAAATGAAACAACCTACATATGTAATAAACCTTATGAATAATTTGCACGAGAAACTATTGATAGGGATATTGGACTGTTTCCAAATAGCCATATAAGGAGATTGTAATAAAATTGAACATCTACAGCTTTAGCATCATCAAAATTCATTTTGTTCTAACTGAATATCCATCTCTATAAATAGAACAGACAAAGTGACCACAGAAGGAATACAATCCTGAATCTGCCTGTCTTCTAACCAATAGCACTACATAAAGTATTATCAGGAGCTCTTTAGAATACCTAACAAAGAAAAGGAAAAAAACAGGTAGAGCAATGACATAGTTAGTTCTTAATGTACTTGATATTTGTTGTATCAGTACAATGTCTGGATATTTGTTGAATCTGGACAATGTCTGGATATTTGTTGAATCAGTACAATGTCTTGATGTCTCTGTATCAGTACAATGTCAGGATATTTGTTGTATCAGTACAATGGATTGATGTCTGTTGTATCAGTACAATGTATTGATGTCTGTTGTATCAGTACAATGTCTGGATATTGGTTGTATCTGTACAATGTCTGGATATTTGTTGAATCTGTACAATGTCTGGATATTTGTTGAATCTGTACAATGTCTTGATGTCTCTGTATCAGTACAATGTCAGGATATTTGTTGTATCAGTACAATGGATTGATGTCTGTTGTATCAGTACAATGTATTGATGTCTGTTGTATCAGTACAATGTCTGGATATTGGTTGTATCTGTACAATGTCTGGATATTTGTTGAATCTGTACAATGTCTGGATATTTGTTGAATCTGTACAATGTCTGGATATTTGTTGAATCTGTACAATGTCTTGATGTCTCTGTATCAGTACAATGTCAGGATATTTGTTGTATCAGTACAATGGATTGATGTCTGTTGTATCAGTACAATGTATTGATGTCTGTTGTATCAGTACAATGTCTTGACGTCTGTTGTATCAGTACAATGTCTGGATATTGGTTGTATCAGTACAATGTCTGGATATTTGTTGTATCAGTACAATGTCTGGATCATCAGTACAATGTCTTGATGTCTGTTGTATCAGTACAATGTCTTGATGTCTGTTGTATCAGTACAATGTTTGATATCTTTTGTATCAGTACAATGTCTTGATGTCTGTTGTATTAGTACAATGTCTTGCTGTCTGATGTATCAGTGTCATGTCTGTTGGATATTTGTTGTATCAGTACAATGTCTTGA